CGGAATGCTAGAGACTGATTAACTTAAAGCATGATACCAAAATGATTGAAAATGCTGACCCCAGGAGTGAACCACAAATTTACCGCACGGCTGTTTGAGGTAAAAATGAGCCATAGAGTACCCAACCAGAAACCCCGGCCTCATGCTGGAACTATGGTGGCTGGCATTTCGTGCAATTCTGTATTTACAAAAAACATCTGTCAGAAGCGCAAACGTCTGGGTCACAGAGAATTACACTGTCGCACAACGTACGATTCCAGGACTGTCTACCCAAAAATTCTAAACGAACTCTAAATCAAAAAGGATGTCGTTTCTGGGAGCGAAGACAAAAGTGGTTCTCGCGACCTGTCGCACAGAATTTGCGGGCAAGCGAAATTACCTCACCGTCAAAATTAATGATGTTCCCATATTCTTGCAACTGGATACAGCATTTGATATTACCATCATTTCTCGATTGTCATGGATGAGACTTGGCAAACCTCCATTGAGACACACATCTGAAAGCTTCTCACGACCAATACTCACCGTGGTCTGTACCAATACAATCGTCTGCCATTTGGAGTTAAAACCGCACCCACAATTTTTCAACAAGTCTTGGATGCCATGTCGACTGGAGTAACTGGAGCCGCAGCCTATCTGGATGATATCATCACAATGTGAATCATACAGGATGAATTATTTCAACGACTGGATGACGTGATTCTGGGAAACAAAGATTATGGATTCCATGTACACGCAGACAAATGCAAATTTTTCTTAAAATCCATTAAATTTCTGGGATTCGTGATTAGTGAACGCGGCCGACATCCCGACCCCGAGAACAATGAGGTGGTAAATCGATTGTCTACACCAAAGGATGTCACAAATGAGATCGTTCCTTGGAATGGTGAGTCGCTATAGCGAGTCTTAGCCAGTTATGCATCGCTTACGCCACCCCTTGAATCATCTGCTGATGAAAGATGTCGAATGGAAATGGTCCAGGCAGTGTCAACACGCATTCGAGAAACTGAAATCTCTGCTGAAATCAGACTTATTGCTTACCCATTACAATCAGAGTCGGGAGATCATCCTGACTACAGACGCTTCTAGCTATGGAATCGGTGCAATCATTTCACACTGTTTTCCAGACGGTTCAGAAAAGGCTGTGGCGCATGCGGCACGAGCTCTGACCACCTCTGAGAAGAACTACAGCCAAATTGAGAAAGAAGCACTCGCTATCGTCTTTGCTGTTCAGAAATTTTACAAAATGATTTACGGTCGGCGTTTCACACTAGTGACGGATCACAAACCGTTACTCGCTATCTTTGGATCAAAAAGGGTATTCCGGCGTACACGGTCAGTCGATTTCAACACGAGGTATTCGTCAACTGACTCTATTGGGCAAGCGGATGCTCTATCCAGATTAATCGATACTAGTCGACGTGAGCCTGAGGATGCCGTCATTGCTTCAATCACAACCGACACGGATATCAGCCACATGATACGTGATGCCGTACCTTACCGGTAAACGCAAAATGGTTCAGCAAGCCAAGAACCAAGACGCATTGCTACGAGACAAGGTTGCCCTGACGAATCTGTGGCACAGCTAATTACGCGACGCGCAGCTTTGTCCGAAGTCGATGCCTGTCTGTTTTTTGCGGATCGCCTTGTCATTCCCGAAGTACTCAGGCTACGCGTGCTGAGGCAATTGCATAAAGGCCACCCAAGAATCGCCCGCATGAAAATACTCGCGCGCAGTTACGTGGACTGGCTCGTGATGTATAGTCAAATAGAAGACATTGGACGATCTTGTTCTAAATGCTGCAGTGTTTCCAAGTTACCGGTGCGAACAACATTGCAATCTTGGCCAAATCCTGAATCACCCTGGTCGCGGATACATGTAGATTTTGTAGGACCAGTTGAGGGGACTTTCTTCCTCATAATTATCGATACATACAGTAAGTGGCCTAAAGTTATTGCTATGCGAAACACATCCGCAAACAGCACGCTCTTTGTGCTGAAGCATGTTTACAGCCAGTACGGTCTGCCAGAAACAATCGTATCGGATAACGGATCACAGTTCACTTCCTATAAATTCGCTGAGTTTTGCGTACATAATGGAATCCAACACATGAGGACTGCACCGTATCGTTCCCGATCAAATGGTCAAGCAGAAATGTATGTCGATACCCTAAAATGTGCATTGTTAAAATCGAAGGGCAAGGGGACGCTGGATGAAAGATTGGAAAGATTCTTGTTGTATTATCGAGTTACTCCGAATCCCAATGCACCAGATGGAAAGTCACTCGCTGAAGCCCTCATGCGTCGAATACTGAGAACCACCCCATATTTGATGGCTCCAAAACGCCCACCTATACGTCGTACGAATTCGGTGATGGAAGGCCAGTATATCAGGCGGTATGGAGCACGGCACGGGAATTTTAGAGTTGGGAACGCAGTGTTCGCTGCCTCTCATCAGCTGGATACCAGGGCAAGTCGTGGGACGACATGGCAGAGTAATGTACGAGGTTCGCGTTGGTAGGCAAGTATGGGTTCACCATGCCAACCAACTGCGACCGCGGTTTACAAGGTGTAGCAGTCTGGAGATTCCTCGGTTTGTCTGTGTAAAATTCTAACTAAAATTATTTCATTGTACACCTAGGCGACCGGTTTGTTGAACTGATTGCTGAGTTCGAATGCTTGAGTTGCTCATCGCCATTTTTGCTTGGCGCTCGTTTCGGTTGTCACGCGCGACTGTCCTGTGTGCTGTGCATCCTCCGTTCCCCTAGCTAGAGCGTAAACGGTGTCGTTTTTTATAGCTAGGTAACAGGGAATCTTTTACTGTACCAATAAAAGTTTCCCTGCAATCCGATCTGCCTTTTCGAATCGCTCTCCGGGCTCCCGCCACAGACTACTCGCTAAAAAGGATCCCAGAGATGTGCGACCCCAAGGGGTCTGATTTCAATGAATTGTTATACACTTTGCAGCCATCCACCTCGACCAGACAAAATACGCAACTCGTGCAACGGACTAAAAGTGAAAACCAACTAATAATAATAAATAATAATGTGTCAGCTGTACGCCGTAACGGCGCTGCGCTGTCGTGCGACCACCACCAGTCGCACGTGGGCTGAGTATACCGCGAGGACGCCCACCCCTACGCGGTTCTAAGTCAAATGCGCACAGAAACGAAACAAATTGACTTGTTCAGGAAAGTAAGTGCGCAATTTCCCACAAGCAACTGTGTGTTTTGTATCAGAACAGCCTCAGCTACAAACAAACCAGTGCTTTTTCCGTGTCGCAGAACAATTGTTACTGTCGCTTGTTTCACATCACTCGCACCTCCCTTCACTGCTTGAGACGTATAAAATCAACCGAGCACACAATTGTGATTCGAACTGTAACGGTGTGTTTTCGTCTCATGTCGGCCTGTTTCATGTTCGCCAACATACTACTCGTCCGGTGGTTTGACTTTTGACTATTGAGAAGCAACATAAGAGCTGCTAAGTTACAACTCTGAGGACATAACATCCGCCCTGCTGTGTGCAGCAGATAAGACGATGGTTGATGCAGGATGTAGTTAGAGCTTGGGGAAATTGTCATGGTTGAGGTTGGCCACACATGCTGGTTCGGAAGAGGAGCCCGAAATCATACTGTTGCACGAACTACAACCATCAAATCAGAATAGACCGTATCGGTGCATTATATCGGCAGGTGCTATTCTACAAGTACAGGTAGAGAGTGAATTAACAAGAGGCAGTTCATCCAACAACCGCTGATTGTTGCAACAGACGCTCGGTCTTCAATCCGATGTATAAAAAAAACAAAATTAGAGGAACTTACAAGTAGACTTTGTTGCACCAAATCTGGATAAGTGCTCCATATTGCCCTTTTGCGAACATCGATACCGATACCTTGAAACTGTGAACGTGACAACCGTAGACAAGTAAACCTACACCTTCAAGCAGCAACAGATAGACAAGAAGGCCGTTTCCACATCCAACATCAATGAAGTACGTTGGGATTTCACACTCCTGTTTCCATAAACACTACGGAGTAATGTTAGTAAAGTAAAAAATGAGTACACGATCAAGTAGGCTGCAATACCGAGATCTTCATGGACAAACTTCAGAGGATCGGTCTTCTCGCACCAGTCCTATCAGATGAGAAAGTAAATCTCGAACAAACGTACTTCCACGATGCGCTTGGCATGCTTTGATTTCAGTGCACAATATACCTCGTGGTAAGCACCTACGTCCAAGAGTGACAAGGAAGCCGTCATCGATTTGGGAGACTGCGCAAGTAAGCGATTTAGCTTCTTGGGGAGTTCTCGAAAGATCCAGTCGGAGGTGAAAATGCTCAACCCGTCATCATAAAGCACATTAGAAACTATTTTTCCACTACGTAAGAGGATGAACAGGAGATCTAGTCCCTACCCATCCATGTAAAGCGAATACTTAATGTGATCACTCTCAAAAAGTGATTCCGAGTTTGATCGGTGGATAATTTCATGGAAACTTGAATTTTGTAAGGAATGTCTGGTCACAACGGTGCGTGATAGTCGTGAAACGTCATCAGATGGGATAACGTCGGTACCGAAAATCCTTCTATGCACAACATGGGGTTTGTAGATCCAAATGTCCACGGTGGAGGCAAATCGGTCAGTGACCATTCGCTCTACTACTAAAATTGAGAAGCAACAGCAGCATTAAAGGGAAGAATAATGAAATCATGCAAGTACGGCAAGACAGGTCATCAGTCTCCAGATTGTTTCGCCGCTTAAGCGATATTTGCTATCAAATACAGATGAGAGAAGCGGCAAAATATGAACAAATCCAGGTAATAAATATATTCCGAAAAATGTATAATTAGATCTAAGAAACCGAGTCATCGAGATGAATACTGGAGGCATCCACAACACTTTGCAGCCAGCACTTCATCTTACGGTTATTATATGGCAATCTCATGCGAAGGACTGCATCCGCGCGCACTGAGCAATTATTATTACTACTTCCAGACGAGATGAACGCCAAACCACGCTGGTCTCCGAAAGAATGAACGGAAAATCGTTGTACCCTTTTTTACTAGACTTTTACTTGTTTGATGCTGAAATCGACATGACGATTATCCATAAAATTTTCTTTTTCGGTTAGCTGCAGCCTTTTTTCATTAAAAATTACAATGGATGTCATCTCGGAGCGCAATGAGCAGAACATGAGCATTCGAAACTTCTACAATAATCGGCTGTCCTCAAGAAAGTAAACAAGTTATATCATGCAGCAATCCAAGCATACATCCGTACTTCCATCACTTTGACAAGCTACCTCTGAACCTCAGTACTTGGACATTTATTTAACAGAATGCTAGAGTATGAAACATCTGTAATACATTAGATCTGACTCTGCTTGGAGTCAGCTTCTCTCAACGTCCAGAAATATCCCATTAATTTATTTACAGTCGGCCCTGTTCGCGGTGTGTTGGTGAATTCAATCGGGCCTTCTTTACCGACCCAGTCAAAGTGAACCTAATCTCGTGTCATTAGCACCACACACACACACACGCTATACACGTTAGCTAGAGGTGGGAAACACCCCAGTTACTGTGACGCAATACCTAAAAGAAAAGAAGAGAATAAAATGCCACAGGTGCAAGTCAGCTGAGCTACTCGTAACGGGTGGGCATCATTCCGGTAAACTACCAGCCGGCAACTATGCTGCAAAAAAGTAAATTCTTGCGCAAATTTATAAAATGCTAAACAACGGGATCGTGGTTGGAGGGGGAAGCTAAGAGGGATGGGGTGGAACAAAGAAACTCACAGCACGAACACCACTGAGGTCGGCTCCTAGCCATATCAACAAGTGTGTCCAACCAAACGTGTTCATCGTCCTTCGGACCCCAACCATGAAGCCGAGAGGCACCAACCGAGGCCAGCTTAGAAGTGAGGGCCTTCATTCCTCTCGACAAAGTCATCGCTTGGCCGCCCCTCCTCTTCTTCCATCCACACCCCCGGCGCGCAAACACACGTCACCGGAGTCGGTGGGCTGGCATGCGTAACACGTGGCCGAGCCATCGGAGCCTGATGCGTGAAATAACGGTGCTGAGCGGTTCATTTCCTTTTCCAGTGCTGTAAACAAGGCATGGAACACGCTCGTTGCTCACGCGGTGTTCCCACCACATGTGAGCTAAATTACCGGTGGTCGAACGTAACTAGCTTCTTTATGTTCATTGATCTAAAGGGGCCAGTTTTCACAACCGTAGAGTAGGGTCGAACGTACCGCTGCATTGTACACTCTACCCTTCAGGGCGAGAGTGATATCGCGCCGGCGCCACAAGTGGCGAAGGTTAGCAAAAGTGCCTCGAGCTTTTGCTATACGATTCGTGATCTCATCTTCAATCCCACAGGCGCTGATACAACTTCCCAGGTAGTTGGATTTCCGAACGACTTCTAGCTGATCCCCACAAACAGTCAGCGAAGGAGGCGCTCCAGGCCAATCTTGGAGGAACGCTTTGCACTTCGATGGTGCAAAGCAAAGCCCGAAGCAGCTGACAGCCAGTGCTAATCTGTCCAGTGCCGTTTGGCACGTCTGGGAGCTGTCACAGATTACGGCAATATCTTCAGCATACTCCAAGTCAAGAAGTCGTTCTCCTGGGAGCAGATCCACAACGTCTAATTCGTGTCCTGTGAGCGCGATTTCCATGACTTCATCAATAGCGAAGTTGAAGAGGAAGGGTGACAACGGGCACCCGTGTCTCATACCGCTGGAGATATTGAAGGGCGACGACAGCTTGCCGTAAGCCCTGACTATGCCTGAGCTACGCGCATGTAATGCTCGGATAATATTCACATATTTCTCAGGTACAGCTTCCCTGAGTAGACAGTCCCCAAGTGCACGTCTATCCATCGAATCGAATGCACCTTTGATATCGAGGAACATGACTACGGTAGGTCGTCAATATGTGTGACGGTGCACCAACAACTGACGCAAGCCGAAGATGTGGTCAATGCAGCCACGACCTCGATGAAATCCAGCTTGCTCTTCACGAATCTGGCTTTCACAAGTGTCAGTCAGTCTGTGAAGGATGACAAAGGCAAGTAATTTGGAGGCGATGGAGATCAGACTGATTCCTCTATGGTTGCCGCATTCCGACTGTGAGCCTCCTTTGAAAATTGGGACTATGATGGAGCGGCTCCAGTCGGTTGGGACAGTCTCCTGCTCCCACAGTTTCACTAGTAATTGATGTAAAGCATCAACAACAGCAGAGCCTCCGAAGTTGAAGAGGGCTGGAGGAAGCTCATCTGGTCCTGATTCTTTGTTCAGCTTCAACAGTACGATCTCACGTTCGACTTCTGAACGAGAGGGTGGATGCAAAGGGACAGACCACGGAGCAGAAGGATCACTGGCCGGCTAAGAATCGAACAATTCTAACCGATTAAATTGCTTTTCAAATTGCTCAGCTGAACACTCCAAACGTTTTGACAAATTGTGGATAGGCTGTCCACTCTCGTCACGTATGGTTTCACTAACACCAGGTCTCCTGCTGCCCGTTTCCCGTATCAGGCGGAATAACTTGCGATGGTTGTCAAGCGCAGCGGCCACTTCCATCTCTGACGCACGATGAGACCACCAGGATTCGCGGTCTCTCTTCAGGCTAGCACGGAGTTTTGCGCGGAGATCTTTACGAGTTTCATTGTGTTGGCTTCCAAGTGGAATATGCCGACGAGCATCGATAAGTTCCAGAGACTGAGAAGAGACCCAATATCCATGTTGGCAATTAGACTTACCACATGAGGATTTTACTGCTGCTAGTGAGGACTGGTGAATATGAGACCAGTGAGCTTCAACTGCATCCAGTGAGCGCTTACTCAACTCGCGTGACACCGTACTTTGGTAAGCATTCAGAACAGCTGGCTTGGCCAGTTGGCTGGTGTCAATGCGCTCATAACGTCGTCTTGGGCGTCGGCCAAAAGGCATCCGCAGGTCAGCATATACAAGTGCATGGTCGGTGTCCACACCTGTGCTCCAAATCGAGCGACAGTTCTGGATGCAGCCTCTCCATCGGTAACATCACAATGTAATCGATTTGCGTCCATAGCTGGTTCGAGGCTGGTGGGCGCCAAATCACCCTTCGGCAGGTGCTGTGTCGGAAGTTAGTGATCGCAAGAAATAAGCGAGCATCTTCACACAAATGAAGAAACCGCTCACCGTTATCATTACGGGAGCCTACACCGTATTGGCCGCCCAGATGCAGTTCATCAGTGAATAATTTGACAAACTTGAGCGTTCAGATCCCCAGGCAGCACTACACTGTCCGTGCTTCTACTGTGGCGAAGGAGCTTGTTCAATTGGCGATAGTGGTCTTTTACCGAATCATCGCGAGAGTTTGTGGGTGCATAGGCAGCGATGACAAATAGACAACTGTTAGTCCCGCGCGACTTCGAAGCTTTGAACGAGCCAGCCAATCGGACTGCACACATCCGGCTACTGACGAGAATCCAGTCAACCAGAGCAGCTTCAGCCCGGGGACTCAAGGCGATACCAACACCAGCTTGACCGGTGCTCGAAGCTGCATCGTCACCGGATAGGCGCAATGAGAAAGTGCTGCTGGTGTCATCTGAAGGGGATCGCAGAGTGAACACAGAGCTCGAGTCTTGCAGACGGGTCCCCGATAAGCAGTGCATATCGATCGAGAGGGTTTCTAATATTTGGGCAAGTGTTGCCTGTTGACCGATCTGAAGCAAAGAGCGAACATTAAGGCATGCCAATCTGAAGGAGGATCGAGGGCTCCAAATGAAAGTCTATGAACTGAGCTTGGCCGCTTGATTAAACATGGGCTTGTCGAAAAGACAAGAATGATGCTCCGCGTTCACATGTGAGTTGAAACTAGAAGACAAGCGATTATTGAAGCAGGGTGGGGGAGGGCCAAGAACTGGGGGGGTTATAAACAGGGGGGATAAAAATGAAGCAGGAACGGGACGGTAAATGAGAAAAAGCGCAAGATAGGGCATAAGATGATGGGAAGGTTTGAGCAGTAGCATCCAAACTCCTGTCCACCCTGCCCGATGCAGCAAATAGGGCACCGTTGATTATCCTCTGCCGTGCCCAGAGTATCAAGAAACTGTTTAAAGAGACATCGGTCACCGTCTAGTGTCCCGTTTTTGTGAAACTCACGTCGGACAACCAAAGTGACGCATACACGTTCACGATTTCGAAGATCGCTCTGCGGACGACTCATGTCGTGTACCAGCAAATGGACAGTGTTAACTTACTGCCTAGTGGTCATTTGATTGGCACAGATTGCGCCGCCCATCAGGAGCAGAAATCCTTTAGGCTGGATTCCACCTTTTCCATTAGATGTATAGCAATACGATAGAATATTGCCGAACTACCTCCCCGTGGTGCCAGCTGGGTGGTTCGGGTGTACCCCGTTCCAGCAAAGTGTTCGGCGACAATGTTCCACCTCCGTGGGGCATTGTATTCCAGCAATTGTGCTGACTTCATGGGGAGTATTGGGCCCCTGTTTGGTAATCTACCAAACAAAGGCGCATGAGCTGATCATTCAGTCAACGCCTCCCAATGGGCGCGATTCCCTAAATTCGCCCCGCTGCCTTGCGGGTAGGTTATTTAGCCAAAGGCTCGGGGTGGAGTCCCCTAAGTCAACTCCCTACTTCGGCTTGGGCAACCG